AAGTACATTTTACATGTTTTACATTATCTATAAGAGACCACAGACATCTCAGCACCAGTAGAACAAAGAGCTAACAGGCTAACGAGCTCCTTTGTAATATCTTTCTTTCCTCTTACACTAAAAGTCACCTCAATATCATCTGTCCTACTCCTAAAGTGACCCTGTAGGTGACCTCTGACCCCAATTCTGCACCAATATAATGACCTCATTATCCCCTAAACGGCTTGTAGTGCGTTTAAGTAACATTTTTAATTCAGGACTTTTAATAGAGTTTGACCACTAGAAGAAGACTGCAGGTAAACATGGATGTAAACATGTATTATAATAATAATATGAGGTTAAAATAAAAGCATTAACATGTTTGTTCCACACTTTATAGTTTATTTTACAGTGTGATATTTCTACTGTTAAAGGATCAGAGTGCTGCTGAGCTGTAAACTGAGAGGTTGGACAGGTCTGAGAGGTCAGAGGTCACTATGAATATGAGTTAATGTAAATCCTGTCTCTCTCTCTCGGTCGGTCGGTGTTTAGCATCACAAAGAGCTCATTAACATCAGCAGGAGAGTTGTTTCTCGCCAAAACAGAAACTACATTAACACACATTAACATTACAGTGAGTGCCAGCAGGACACGGATACGGTGGCCTCTCTGGGAACAAATTCATCCAAATAAAATACACTCAAGCTATAAATACACTACTCAGAGTCATTAAGAGATAATTCATACATGTACTTTAGTTCATATTGTAAATCACTGGATGCTACATTTTCATAATTTATGATAAAGCATCTATAATTGCATCGGCAGCCAGAGTTTGCTGTATTTTTACTTCATTATAATCATAATAAATACAATTAATAAAATAAATACATTTTATAAACTTTATTAACTCCACAGTTAAGCTATTTATTATCGTACTTACTTTGTTTACTTTAAATTATATGTTCTTTTATGTTTTATTTTGCAAAATATTTTGATCTGCATTTAGTGTAGGTTCTATATGACATAAGTTTATATTATTATTTTTATTATTATAAATAAGTAATAAACCACATTTAATGTTTTGTCAAACATAAAATACAATGTCAAATATTAAGTTATACATTTTTTTGTGAAGTGTCAACCAACCAAAAATATAATTGTTGACAAATACATAAATAAATACATAAACAAACACATAATTTAACTTATGTCTGCGTTACAGTGAGCTATAAACCGTTATTTATTTATAATAATATATCATTTATGATAATTATTTTAATATTCTGCTTAGAAACTCCGTTAAAATAAAGTTTAACCCTCTTTAAAAGTTTTATAAAAAAAATAAATAAAAGTTTATCTTTCTGATGCAACCGCACCGTTGTGACGTCACCGCAGGCGTGACGCAGATCAGCACCAGGGGCGATTAGACAGTGCCCGAGCGCGCGACTCAGTTCTCCCGCCGCCGCTGCAGTCCGCGTACGGCTCGCGCTCAGTCAGCACGGGACAGTGCTGAGTTTGCTCCTCGCGCACCGCACGAGAGGCTGTGGAAGAAAAAAGGTAATTAACATTAAAAGTTCAGAGCTGAAAGTTTTATCTGACTGTGGCAGTTTAACCTGCGCGAGACGCTGCGGTTTAAAACGAACCGACAGTTTGTGTGCGCTCGAGCGCGGAGCAGTTGGTGTGTGTGTGTGTGTGTGTTTGTGTTTGTTATGTTGTGGGGACATTGATACGTTCACACCGCCAGGTTGAATCCTCCCGTTAACGTTTAAATGTCACCGTTAAGGCTGAAGGTAACGGTTACGGTTAGTTTAAGGGTTTAATCAATCAATCAATCAATC